TGGGGAGACAGGGAAAAGCTGGGGTGTGGGGAGGCAGGCAGAGGTGGGGTGTGGGGAGGCAGGCAGAGGTGGGGTGTGGGGAGGCAGGCAGAGGTGGGGTGTGGGGAGGCAGGCAGAGCTGGGGTGTGGGGAGATAGGCAGAGGTGGGGTGTGGGGAGGTAGGCAGAGGTGGGGAGAACTGGATGGTGGGGTGGGCCAGGTGCAGACGGAGGCCGTGTGGGGCCTTGGTGGTGGGGACTGGGGTGCAGGGGTGGAGGCTGAGGTGAGGAGGGGAGAAGAGGGTGAAGGTAGTAGGAGGGTTCTTCCTCCTGAGAGTCCCGAGAGTCCTGAGAACGGTCTTTAGCAGGGGCTCACTGGTCTCCGTTACAGGCCTTTGGAGGGTCCATCTGCTGACAACCAGAGCTTAGCCACCTTACTTGTGGATTATCCAGGGGGTGGTTTGGAAATTGCTTCAGCCCAAGGAAAGATGTACCCAATCTGATCTGGGTGGCCAGACTTAGCGAGGGTGACATTAACCTCTGCCCAGGCCATCTGAGAATCAAAAGTACCCTGGGAGGGCCAGTCAGCCCAGAGTGTGGGCCATTCCATATCACAGAACACTGGAGGAGACATTTGTTGATAGGATAATCATAATCCTCCTTAACTATAGCAAGGTAAAGTTTTTATCAGAAGTCTTTAGAACACAGGTTAGAGGGCTGTTAGGCTTGCTAGTCTTATTACCCACACTGTCCGATAGTCCAAGTCCAAAATAAACCAATTAACACGGAAAGTACAAGAGGCAGAAAGAGGACAGTAAAAATGTCCCAGAGACAAGACAGACCTACAAACACCAGACCAAGAACCTCAGGTGGGCGGTGCAACATCTCGCTTTTTGCCCTGAATAGGGAAATATTGGGGTCCCATACAACCCTCTCCTCATCCCAGATAGGGACCCACAAAACAGAACCAGACCATGATGCACCAGGAGGCCTTCGTGGATGCTTGCTGCCTTTCTCAGCACGAAAGTTCAACCTGATAGTTCGTGAACTGAAGGCGGCCTTGGAACATCTCAAGACACATGCCTGCTGAGGCAGCACCCCCCAGGCCCCTGGAGTTCCAGAGCCAAGGGCCAGGTTTAGAATTTGGGTGGATGGTCTGAATCTCACTGGGGCCTCCAAAAAAGTTAATCCCAAAGGCAAGAATAAGACCACTATTACAATTTAAAGCCAAATTTTAGGCAAGCTTGAATTTTTCTTGGGGTGTATGTTAATATTCTGACCTGTCCCTTGGTGCTGCCCTGTGTGTGGTGATATTATATTTCCCAAAATATTGTGCACCCTAGTAAATTTATCTGGGGTCAGAGAACAGAACAGCCACTAGATAGATATAGAGGCCAGAAAATGGTGTCACACACCTTTAATCCTAGCATTCCAGAGGTAGAGATCCATCTGGATCTCTGTGAGTTCAAGGCCACACTGGAAACAGCCAGGCATAGTGATACACGTCTTTAATCCCAGGAAGTGATGGCAGAAAGCAGAAAGGTATATAAGGTGTGAGGACCAGGAACTAGAAGCATTTGGCTGGTTAAGCATTTGGCTGGTTAAGCTTTCAGGCTTTTGAGCAGCAGTTTGAGATACATTTGGATGAGGACTCAGAGGCTTCCAATCTGAGGAAACAGGATCCGCTGAGGAACTGGCGAGGTGAGGTAGCTATGGCTTGTTCTGTCTCTCTGATCTTCCAACGTTCACCCCAATACCTGGCCTCAGGTTTGATTTTATTAATAAGACCTCTAAGATCCATGCTACACCTGTGTCCTGACATAAAAGCCTCATTTTAAGGAAAAACTCCCCTTCCTCTCTCTCCTGCTTTTCCTGCCGTGAAGTGTGCACCCCCAGCGCCCCCCATCTCTCTCTTCCTCTTTCTCCTTTCTGTCTTTCTGTCTCTTCATATTATAATAAATTCATGTCCGAGCAGATGCAGCGCCTGGGTTGTGAATGAACGTCCACCACCACCGCGGCCACCATGCCCGCATTTCCTGTCCCGCTCATGCACACACACATGCACACACACCTCTGCACACACACCCGGGCACACACACCTCTGCACACACACACTTAAAAATAAGTCTCTTGGTACGGGAAAAGGAAAAGACATCTTCACAGCACTGTTTTCACTAAGGATTCTTAAATGGTTTGGTTTCTAATGTCATTTATATAAAAAGAAAATCCAGTAACCCTTAATCAAATTATGTCTTCAAATTTTATTTTGAGAGTATAAAAAGAGCTCAAATAATTTAAATGGTAAGAATTTGATTCTTGAAAAATGGCTTTAACACCATCATTACTTTTATTAATCTTGGAAACTAAAGCTAATTTGTTCTTCATTAGCTTAAAAAAATCATATTATTGAAACATCCGGGTCAGCTCTAAAAATGACATCTCATTGTAAAGCCTTGTATTTCCTGCCATTCAGGATATTCTTTGAAAATAAAGTACAAGAAGATAAAGAGAGAAAAGAACTGGAAAGGAGCTCTGAGGAGCCAGTGCACGCACCTCCACCTGTAATTCCTCCACCACCTCCTCCACCCCCCACCAAAAAGAAAGGACAGAAGCAAGGTGAGTGGCTTGTCATCTTCCACACCTGTAGTTGCAAAGGCATGGGGAAGAAAGGCCGGACTTTGGTGCTGGCAGTGCCCAACCAGGTGCCATCCACCCCCCTTGAAGCTGCTGTGCTGGGTGGATAAGGTTTTATCACATTTTACCCTCTGTTTTTATTTGAGAACCAAAATGACTGTGCTCTTATTCACAGGTGAGCACTTACTGAATAAAATGCCTTAAACAGTGGCAGTGGGGGAGGGGGGAGCATGGAGGGAAGGAATTTGCATCTCCCTGAAAGTTTCCGTGAGGCAGTCAAAAAGCCATCCCAACATAAAGCGTCTGCTTTGATAGAGGCAAGTTCTGTGATCTAATTGCATATCTGTGAGACATGAGGATCAAGAGGGGGAAAGACCACATCCACAATTGTCCAATTAAAGCAGGATGTATTTTGGGGTACACCTGGGACTAGTCAGCTGGCTGTCTCACCCTAAGCTGAGATTTGAGAGAGCAGCCCCTACTGGCCTCTTGAGGTTCTTTTAAGGAGAGGTAAGATGTTCACAGGGGCAAGAGAGTTGGCTATTACACATTGTTAGAAAAATACAGTGAAAGGGATGGAACAAGGGTCAGGACATACATCGTGTGAATGGGGTTGCAAATTTAGTGTAGTTGAAAAACATGTTTTGCAGTTTACAACAGGGCCTTATTGTCAATTACAAATAGAAACCTTAACGTGCAAGTACTTAACACAGGACAAACAGGAACTTATTCTTAACAGTCTTAGCTGCAAACAGAAACCTTAACCTTCAAGGTATGTTGTTCTGTTTTGGTCTCACATATCAATTAGCATTTGTTTTCTAAAGCTTTGCATCGCCCTGGTCTCTGCCCACACTTCCAATGGCGGCCCCTCCAGGATGTTAGCACTAGAGCGGCCCCTGGCACCGTGTTTTTATGTCTCCTAATGACTCATGCCACGTTTCCTTCAACTTGCCACGACCGCCAGCTGCTAATGTGACCCCAGGCACATCTGGACGCCCAGTTGAAAAATTGGTTTCATTAAATAAGAAAACACTAGCCTGATGGTGGTGGCCCACGCCTTTAATCCCAGCACTCAGGAGGCAGAGGCAGGCGTATCTCTGTGAGTCTGAGGCCAGCCTGGTCTACAGAGCGAGATCCAAGACAGCCAGGACTACACAGAGAAACCCTGTCTCAGAAGATATAATAATAATAATGATGATAATAATAATAATAATACTCCAGACTAGGGAGGAACTGAGGTGAAAAGCGAGAGCCTCTATTTTGTGTGTTAGACCTGTCTTTTCCCAGAGGGTGTGGACTGAGCTACAGATGGGCCGGTCCACCAATGAGCTTCACTTGCCAGATGCTTTTGACTCAGAACTAAGAGTTTAAGGAGAGAGGCATGGCCCATGGAAACGGATTTGCTCTGTACTAACCATGTGCAGGGTGCTTATGTGTCTTCTCTCCACTGAGGACCCAGGGTAGCTGTGGGGAAGAACAGGAGACTGGAGGCTGAGAACTGGCAGAGCGAAGAGGGGTGAGGATGCTGGGTAGACTGTTGGGCATGGGGCTTTACTAGAGATGGTGGCCAAACACAGAACACAGCCTGGCTTTGGGTGCAGAGAAAAGGACGGCAAGTTAGGCACATGAAGAGGTGCTCAGTGTTAGGTCGTGGAAACCACGGTGACCCAGAAGAGCACTGGAATTCAAAGACTAAATCAAGTCTGCATCTACTTCCTACAACATATCATATTGTTTTAACTTCACCACAGTGGCTATGCCTTAATCTACTGCTATTTCAGCCAGCAGTTGTAACTCTGCAGTTACCTACCTGCCAGCCACTTGGGCCAAAACCTGGTGAGAATTCTGTTTGCACAGCCCCGGCTCTGTGACTGCCACTAATGGGAGCTCTAACTAAATCTCTGTCGTTCTATTTGTAAATAAGAGTCGAGATTCAAGCTGGGCGGTGGTGGCGCACGCCTTTAATCCCAGCACTCGGGAGGCAGAGCCAGGTGGATCTCTGTGAGTTCGAGGCCAGCCTGGGCTACCAAGTGAGTTCCAGGAAAGGCGCAAAGCTACACAGAGAAACCCTGTCTCGAAAAACCAAAAAAAAAAAAAAAAGAGTCGAGATTCAAAGTCTGGGGTGAAAACCCACTAGTTCAGAGAGGTTGAGTAGCAACTAGCTAATCTCCTTTCCTTGCTGGTGTCTCCCTAAGAGTGCGTCCTGAGCCACCACTCCAGATCCCTCCCTCCTCATTCTGGTGCATCTCTTCCAGATGCCCTCTGATGCTCTGGATTACTTCCTGTCAACTAGTTGCTAACTCAGCCCCCTGACCCAAGCTTAATTTTATTTAATTAACACAAATGTAAACTCGGGGTTCACAGGGTGATCAAATATCCCCCCAAAATATTGGGCAATAAATAAGCTGCGGTCTCTCAACCACAACGAATCCCAGTTTACTTACATGAAAATGTGGGAGCAGCAGTGTCTACCACTTATGATTGTGGACCAAGTTCATGGTGAGTGACCTAAAAATCATGAGGCAGAATCCATGGCCCAGGATGATTGAGTACTGCTGAGTGAGCAGATCTGAAAATCCCTGGGAACCGAGGAGGAGAATTCTAGCCTTGTCTCTCTCCCTTTCGTCTGTGCTGGGTCTTCTATGAGAGCAGCATTAAATGAAAATGTGGTTTTTGTCATGGTGAGATTTCTAGAAACGAATCCTTTCTCCATGCTTCCCTCTCCAGGACGGAGGGACACTCTTTTGGAAAAGCCTATCATCCCCCCAGAGCCCCCGGAACCAGTCCTCCACGGCAGCATGGCCATAGGAGCTGTGTCGCTGGCCGTCGCTAAGGCCAGTGCCAGGCTGGCCGGCACACCCCTGTACATGAGCATGGCGTCACTGAAGCACGGCCAGGTCAGTGGACAGACGCTGCATCCCGTCACCGCATGGAGCCTGGAGTGGGGTGGTGCCAGAGAACTGCCATTCTCACCGTCCCTTGCTTTCCTGACATTCCAGGAGCCGCCGTCCATGCTCACCATGCCCCTGGTGATGGGATCTGTACTCAGCTGTGGGAAGTCATCACCTGGGAAGCTAAATTTAATGAAAGAAGTGATTTGTATACCCCATCCTGGATTGACAACCAAACAAGTACCTGATATCAGCTAAGACGGTTTTCCTACCCCCCACCCCCAGCCTCCATCACTGGTGAATTTTAGTGTAGCCCAAAGGGACGTGAATTAAATGTATGAAACGGTATTCTCTGAAGGAAGCAGGCCCACTTAGAGGTCTGGTTTGGTACAGCCTTGGCTGCAGTTGCTGACTCGCAGGAGCAAGGTCTTGTGGAGGCTATCATCTGAGAGTACGGAGAACAGCCTTACTCATTGGCTGTAACAGAGGCCTGTGCTTCCCAGCAACCCATGGGGTGTTCCGCGCTTATCTGTGAGATGAGCACATCCGGTGTCAGAGCTGCACTTCTCAGGGTTGTACTGGTGACGTCTACGTTGCCCTTTAGTGCCCTGAGGGTCAGTATGCTCCCTTGAGTCGTCTACCAGTTAGGCATTAGAAATAACTACCTAAGGTTCATGCTACAGTGAATGCTTTCCAAAAAAAGCAGAGGAAGTTCCCCCCCACTCCTCCTGCAGTGAGTGAAATTTTCCTAAGTTAGTGAAAATAAGCTTCACAAAAGTTTCACTTGCTTTCTCTGTGAAAAAGGATCCCTTTTAAACAAAATTGTCATTACCTCACAATTTACATTTCCAGGTGACTAGAGTTTACCTGTGACCCTCCAGCTGCCAGATTGATTATCTGTCAGGTCATATTCAGACCCTGTTGCCAGGATTCCCTCTTAGTTATTGTCGCTGTGCTATTCCAGCCCCAGAGCACTCTGCACGCCACACTTCATCTTCATGTGCAGACGTGCTCACAGTCAGGCCATACCTCCTTCTCTTCCTCCTTGTAAAGGTGTTTTTATTTTTATTTTATGTGTATGGGTGTTTTGCCTGCATATATGTCTGTGCACCCTGTCTGTACAGTGCCTGAAGAGGCCATAAGAGGGTGTTGGATTCTCTGCAAGGGGAATTACGGACAGTTGTTAGCTGTCCTGTGGATGCTGGGAACTGAGCCCTTGCCCCCAGCAAAAACGAGTGTTTTTCCAGATAAGCCCTCTCTCCAGTCCTAGTGCTCTACTTCCTAGGTGACAGGGATTCAAACTAATTTAGCCAGGCTTCCTTGGTGACCTGTGACATGTATTGTGACGTTGTCCAGCTTGGCCAAGAGGTTATGATAAAGAATAGTTAGTCGGTTTTCACAATGAAGATACCAAGACAGAGAGCCTGTCCCTCACACTCAAGCCATTGGGGGTCAGAGATGAACATTTGCTCTTCTCATTGTGTAGACCACACCATCCACTAACTGGCAGTCCTCAGTAGGGGGTCCATGAACAATCTCAGTAAACAGTGGCCGTCAGGCTATGAGTCTTATGTTTAAAATCTGCAGACTGAAGTTGTACACCATGGCTGTTCTGCTTACAGGGTATAGATTTGCTTCTGGAAATTCAGAAACAAGTTAACAGAGTGATGGAGACGGTACGTAAAGGGAGCTTGTGGTAATTACTGACACTCAAATCCAGCTCGTACTTCAATTTGGGATTAAATCACTGTTGCTATTGTTGCTCTGGAGAATGCATTTGTTTGCTTCGGGTTTCCCATCCAAACCAAGTTCTCCTAGCCTCGATTCTGTGTGCTGCAATAAACACCATGAGCCGGGCGGTGGTGGCGCACGCCTTTAATCCCAGCACTCGGGAGGCAGAGGCAGGCGGATCTCTGTGAGTTCGAGGCCAGCCTGGTCTCCAAAGCGAGTTCCAGGAAAGGCGCAAAGCTACACAGAGAAACCCTGTCTCGAAAAACCAAAAAAAAAAAAAAAAAAAAAAAAAAAAATAAACACCATGACCAGAAAAGCAACCTGGGAGGGAAGGGTTATTTGGCTTCCACTTCCGGGTACCAGTCTACCACTGAGGCATGTCAGGGCAGGAACCTGGAACAGAAAATATGGAGGGGCCTTGCTTACTGGCTTGCTTCCCCTGGCTTGTTCGGGTACCTTTCTTTCTGTCTTGGTTTGCATAATCTACATTTCATCACTTTAAAATCGCTAACATTATCTTGGGTCCATTAAATAGAACCAGCACTTCCGGGTCTGTTTACATTATAAAGGGGGTGGGGGCACAGGTCACTGTGTACAAACCCAGCCAGGATGGTCATGATGGAGTGGGAAGGAGAGGAGGTGTACCTCTGGGGGAGTCTAGGAAAAGAAAAGGGAGCTCCCAGGCATGAGGGGGCTGATTATCCTAATGGGAGGGGTGTAAAAGACATGTTAGAAAAGGGGCTTAGGGGAGCGGCCTACGGATGGCACCACACACTGTCAGCTGGGCTCTCCTGTATCAATTAACAATTAAGAAAAGCCTTACAGCCAGGCTGTGGTGGTGCTTGCCTTTAATCCCAGCACTTGGGAGGCAGAGGCAGGCGATCTCTGAGTTCAAGCGAATTCCAGGACAGCCAGGGCTGTTATACAGAGAAACCCTGTCTCAAAAAGCCAAAAAAAGAAAGGAAAAAAAAGGAAGAAAGAAAGAAATGAAAAAAGAAAAAGAAAATGCCTCACAGATGTGACCACAGGCCAGGTCTGACCTGGACAGTTCTTCAGCTGAGGGTCCCTCCTCCTAGGTGACTCTGGGTTTGTGTCAAGTTGGCAGTTGAAGCTACCTATGATCCAAGTGCATACATTGTTCATTGGCAGTGGATCTATCTTCCAGAGAATTGGACAATCCATTTTAGTTCCTGAGACACTGGCTCTTCGCTAAGATCATCATTTAGGATTTATAAAGTACTTCATGACCTTTGGCTCTCTCCAAAAATCAAATACACCTTGATTTTACTCTGAAAATATTGGGCCTGTGAAAGCAAATCCCACAGTGGCAGGTAGTAGTTCTGAAGGTCAGGAGAGGATTTGCTATGCTCCTGCCCAGAAGGAGTGTGTGCACACACCAGGAGTTCCTAGTGTGACCTGTGAATGCTTTGAGGACCAATGTGCAGTGGGGTAAGGGCAGAAGAGGATGAACTAAAGACAGACTTGAGGTTGAGGGACTTGAAGAACATTTCTGGAATGATCTCTGTGTCTGTGTAGCCGACTTCGTATGCATGTGAATGGGAGTGAAATTCACGGTATGGAAGACCACTCCCCTAAGAATAGCCAGCCTCAGGGCCAACAGCTCTGCTTGCTGCCACAGGATGTCTGAAAATACCAAGTGATACATTTTTCTTCATTTTCTCATCCACAGCCCCCACCTCCAAAACCAGAGACCAAAAAGGGCCATGATACAGGCAAAAGAGGTCAGGTAAGCATGTGTCCTCCTCCTCCTCCTCTGGGCACTGCGTGTGCCCTGCTCCCTCCCTCCCCACCCCCTCTTAGTGTTGTGTTTTGTTTTGTTTTCCCCAAGACCAGGACTAAGTCAAAGAAATGGAGACTTTACTCCAAGAGTGCTAATGTAGACCTGGGGCCTCAGTCTTCCTCTTCCTGGCTACAAGTTTCCGGGAGAGGTCATCCGCTGCTGAAATCTTTTTATTTTTTTTCTTTTCCTTCTTTGTTTTGTTTTTTGAGACAGGGTTTCTTTGTGTATCTCTGGCTGTCCTGGAACTCACTCTGTAGACCAGGCTGGTCTCAAACTCAGAGATCCTCCTGCCTCTGCCTCCTAAGTACTGGGATAAAAGGAGTGCACCATCAACACCTGGCATTAACTGAAATCTTAAGATGGAGAGGTATCCTTTATGATTACTGGGACTGAATTGAATCCTGTCTCTAGAAAGAGCGGAGTATCATAGGATAGTCTAGATACTCATAGTATCTCTAACAGAGGGAGAAAGAAAAAGGCAGTGTTCACAATCATGGAGGTCAGAGAACAACTCAGATGATTTGGTACTAGTACTAAAAAACAAAACAAAACAAAAAAACCAACAACTAACAGTGATACTCACCTAGAAGAAACCTGAACGTAAGAAAGTGGTTTGGAAGAGGAGGACTAACCAAGGTAGAGATCCGTGGATATTCATAGGGATAGCCAGGGGATTGGTGGCTCAGGTTAGCCCAGTGAACAAGGGCAGAGCCAGTCAGGTAGTGTAGTTAGGTGCACCAAAGAAAGAAAGGCAGATGGTGTTGGGGATTAAAGGCTCAGGCCAGGGTTGGGGGTGGGGTGGTTTAGAAGTAGATGTCCAGTTAAAATCCATGTCTGTGGGAAGGTGGTCCAAGAACCTTAACACACTATGGTGACCTGAATCATTCTCTTTTGATCTTGCAGCAGCCAATCACTGGCAAGATGTCTCACCTTGGCTGCCTGACCGTTAACTATGACACCTTAGAGCAGCCACTGCTTCTGATTCAGGGCATCTGCTCAAACCTGGGGATAGAGCTGGGAATGAGCCTGCACCTGGCCATCAACTGCGCTGCCCACGAGTTGATGGACTATGTGAGTTTCCAGAACGGCCTCCCTGTTTGCAGGACATGATTTTTAAATTAGAACTTACCTGAATATTTTCTGAACAGATGCTATTATAGATGCATAAATAAAAATGGAGTTAAGAAAGCCAAATTAGGTAATGACTAGAAAATAATGCACTATTAATTTTTAAAAGTAACATGAAATATCATGATCATATATAGAAATCTTGTAATTAAAATGGACACATAAAATGAAGGCTTTAAAAAATGAAAAACGTATTAAAATCCCTTCATTTTTGGACTTCTTAGGAACCTATTTAATAGCATGATTTATAGTATAATCCTGAAAGCTGTTGGGAAATAATTTAACAGTCTGGTATGTTTTGTGAGTATAAATCATTTGGTTGGTAAATGCTGAATCTGTCAAGCATGAAAGAGCATGAAATCGAACCCTGCTTCACACATGCTAGGCAAGCATTCTACCACTGAGCCACATCCCCAAGTTATTAACTTTATGAGGAATATGGTTTTATTCCAACTAAATACATTATTGTCCCCCACCTGGACGGTCACCTGGCAATCACTTCACCTACAGAGAGAAATATTTTAAAAGGAAATGAAAGCTGACCCCCCACCCCCAGCCCCAGGCTACAGCAGCAGTTCACCTCTATGCCTGGGAATCCGTGCTTTAGGAAATCTAGTCAGTTTCCTATTTTACACACTTGCACACCCTTCCCATCCTCAGATGCACCAATGCTGGTTCTCAGTTTTACAAATACCTGTCATATCGAAGCAAGCACACTTGTGCCAGCTTGGTAATTAATGTCGGTTCGGGAGACATGGCAAGTAGGATTTCACTTAACTGTGATTCTAACTTTGACTACAAAGAAAATTTTGAACAGTATAGAAGAACCCTAAGTTTTGGCTGATTTCTAGAAGTTATTTTACTCTCAAAGGAAACCAAGCACATAAAGGGATGTTTAAAGTAATTTCCTATTCTTCATGTAATGATTGGTTCCTAGGCATACCATTAAGAAAAATAATTGCATGTTTGCATCAGCAACGTATACCCAGAACTATGAATATACTGACTGCTAGTGCTAGCTAGAATGAGTATTTATTGCTTATATTCAGTAAAATGTATTAGCTTGATATCAGATAATTCTTACAATAATGTTAGTTCAAAGTCATTAGCATTTCTTCACCGACAAGATAGGATTTTTAAGCTTCTCATTATAGACGCTAAAACTTCTTGCTGCTTTTTAATGTGAAAAAGGTAGAAAATCCTTTTAACTGTAGACTTCTTAGGAACCTGCTTAGTTCCAGTGGAGTCCATTCTATTAGCTGGAACAGCAGGAGGGCATTAGCAAAGCAAACCGCCCACTTCCTTGTCCACCTCCCTCCCTAACTTAAGCATCCCTGGTGCCACCCCTGGTCACAAACTTGGGAGCGAGCTGCTTTGTCTTACAGGACTAAACTGGATCCTTCAACCCCGTTTACTTCCACACTTAATGCCACGAGTCTTTGCAGAAATCAAATGAATAGGCTTGCGTCAGAACACCTCTCCCCTTCCAGGGCAAGTGGCAGGCTACTTGAGGAAGAGCCAGTTTGCAAAAGCTTTGCCCTGATTTTAGAGTTTATTTATGTCTACAGAAAGGGAAACAAGTGACTTGTTCCCTGTGAGTCGAAAGACAGTGGGTTCCAGAGTGGGCAGGTCTGCACTGCTGCTCTGTGTGGCCCTTGGTGGATTTGTGTTATTGTCCACCTACCCAGGCAGCTAGGGGCCTGCACTACTGTGTCATAACCCTAAAGAGAAGGCCGCTCTCCTCCCACTCTGTACCTGATGTGTTTTTTGTGCAGAAGGCTTCATCTGAAGTCTGTAGGAAGAGCTCTCTGGGGCATCCAGAGCAACGGTGACTTGCCTTCCCCGGGTTAAAAACTATGAAATTTAAAGTACAGGAGAGGGAGAAGGGGAAACTGTGGTCAGGATACAATCTGTGAGAGAGTTAAAAAGTACCAGTGCATAGATTTTGCAGCGGAATGTGCCTTGAAAAGAGCTAGTGTATAATCATTGCTATGAAAGAGAGTTTGAGAGACACCTTCATCCAGAGAACCCATGTTTATCTTTCACTGCCTTCCTCACACACGTCAGAGTAAAGGGAAGTACGAGGTGATGGCGGGCACGCACAAGAACATAGCTGAGATGGTGGACCTGTACGTGGATCTGATCAACAAGTATCCTTCCATTATTGCCTTAATTGATCCTTTCAGGAAGGAGGTAAGCAGGGTCCACCTTTTCTGTTTTATATGTGATAAAGTAAGGAGTCTCACCTTTCACATTTTATAACAAAGCAGAATACAAAACCCATTCTTCTGGACCTCTGTTGCTGAGAATGTGTTATAATTTGGGCTGGGCTGGGCTTCTTTGTTTTGGTATTTATGAAAAGTCACTTACCAAGCAAATGAACAGCGGAAGCACAATTACCTAGGAGCATGCCCGTCTGTGAAGTGGCAAGCCCTTCAGGAGTACCTGTGTGTTTACCAGCAGCCTGGCTGATGGAAGCCGGCCCTGCTGTGCCAGCCAGCGCTTCGATAGGTTAATCATATATCATTTTCATGTGCTCGTGGAAACAGAACTTCTAGAAAGCCAGATATTCCTCAGGCGAAGGCCAGTTTCTACATATGTATACAAGTAGCGCGGCTGTATTCTGAGGAGGTGTGAGATTCTGAGGTTTCAGAGTGCATTCGGATGAAAGCCCTGCCAAGGGTCATCTAAAGGCCATGGAAGACCATGTCCAAAGTGAACTTCATGATTTTATGAAGTGGAGAACCATCTGTGTATTGAACAGATATCCTCTGAGACAACTAATTAGATTCCAGACAACAGGAAAGCTAGATCTAATTTGGAGTTTCAGGGCTCCCCTCTCACAGCCTAGAGTCCTTACAGCACTCTCAGAAAATACAGCTGAACTCGGGGCCTCGCTGGGCCTTGTAATGACCGTCCTGAGACTGACCATAGCTTCAGGGCTCCTGTCTCGGCTCTGCCTTCTAGGCATGACAGTTACCAAAGCCTCAATGTGGGTAGTACTTCCAGGTCAAAGCTGGAACAGCTACCCACTGCATCATAGCTCTGTCAATGTGAGAGGACCCACCCACACAGTCAGCAAAGATGGGCTGGCTTGAAATCTGGTCCAGTGGCCAGGATAACTTTGTGTGCATGTAGATATATGCATAAACACACATCTAATTAAATATTTCATGTCACACACAGTGGTGTTGCCATCTTGTTATTGACTATTAACAGTGAATAATTATTGACTATTAATACAATAGTCTTAACAAATAAAGATGGCTTTTTTTTTCAGGTTTTTGTTTGTTTGTTTCATGGAAGTAACTGAAGAATCTCCTAACCAGCCAGTGTTTAACTGTACTAAGGACAAAACAGTGGGTGGTGATAGCTGGGCCTCAACCCCATAGGCAGTGTGGGGATAATACTTTAGACACTAACGTTGTGGGTTTTTTGTGGTTTTTGTTTTTTCTCCACAAGATCTTCAGGCTCAAATTAAATTACTTGGAGCTTCTCTCCATGAAGCTTATTAATTTGTACGACAGTGGCACAGAAATCCTTAGGGCACAGATGTCAAGGAAAATATTTTATGTGTTTCAGAGAAAGTGTGTGAGTTGATCGTATGCTGTTATTGCTGTTGTCTTGTGATGGCATTCAATGCATTATAATGATCAACTCTTAAATATTTACCCAGGACGCTGAACAGTGGGACAGCATCTATAATGCTCTTGCTTCCAGGTGCTACATAATTGCAGGGGCTGCTTCCAGAAGCGTCTCTAAACTCCTAGAGCACAGAAATATCAGCACCCCCAAATCCCACGGGCTGATCATCAACCATACAAACCAAACCACAATGTCTGACTTGGTGGAAATAACCCATCTTATCGACAGTGAGTAAAATATCGATCTGAGAGACCCGTAATGGCTTGGTTATGCAAGGAGCCAAACCCACACAGTATGTCCATGTTAATAAAAAGCGAGGATTAAATCTTGAAAGCAGAGAAGTTCAGCCATTTGTGGGGGGATTGAGTGCAGCTTAGCACCTGGCACTATGATGCTCTGGGGCAGCCTTAGTCCACAAGGTCAGATCTTTCACTGATCACGACCACTAGTGGCTTCACAGCAGGGAGGGCTTTCTGCCCCTAGCAGAGGGCAGAGCCACCCTAGCACACCCATCTATTTGCTTTAGTCTGTGGCTTTGGGGTACAGAGGAATATCAGAGACTCAGAAGGGGTACCCAGCCCTTCCTGCTAAAGAACAGGCCTAAAGCTTTGAATTCTGCTCTCGGAAATACCTGGTACTGTGGCTAGCTCACCAGAGACAATGCAGTCCTCTGGCTCAAGGAAACGGCTTGACATTCATAAAGGCGAGGCACCAGGCACCATGAGGGAGCAGAAGGGTGGATGTGTTAGCTTGCCCCAGGTGGCTAAAGCCCTGTGAACTTACCTCCACATCACGACCAGTGTGTTTGCTCATAAGCATGAGGACCTGAGTTCAATCCCCAGAACCCCTGTAAAAAGTCAAGTGCACGCTTATAATCCCAATGATGGTGTGATGGAAACTAGAGACGGGATCCCTGGACTTGCTGGCTGGTTAATCCAGCCTGTTTGGTGAAATTCTAAGCTAATGAGAGACCCCGCTGTCCTCTGACCTCCAAATGCATATACACATGTATGTATGCTTGTGTACACATACACATGCACCCACATGGACACACACAATTAATTTAATAATAGAGTCATTTCCTCCATGAATCCAGGAGATTCTATGTGGAAGGGTGAGCTTCCAATCTTCCAGGTAGGCACAGCCCACGTAAGGATGTGGCAGTTAACTTGATTGAAACTTAATTGCCTGTCATATACCCAGACCTCCCGGGGCCATTTTGCTTTACACTGGCATGGCAAAGTCTGGGATTGGGTGGAATTTGGAGCTAGATCACCCTCAGAGGGGAACTGGTCTACCTCAACAGGAAATGGCAGGAAGATCCCATTTAAGAGAAGCAGTTTTTCTGTCAGCACAGGGACCTGGAGCAGGAAGGAGGCTCGCTGACTGCAGTACCAGGAAGCTGCCTGCAGGTGGACAACGCCGTGTAGCATCAGGAAGGCACCTGGATGCAGGTCCCTAGCAAGGAGTTTGGAAGGAGCAGGATCCCAGAACAGGGTCCGAGGGGTGACTCGTGGAACCAAGGGGTTGTTGCTGGTAGATTTGGGGCACCAAGGAGAGCAGCTGTGTAGTACCAGTGCAGCCATTTCAGCTTCAGGGTGAACTCTCACAGCAAAAGTCATAGCACACATCGGCCTCTCCATTTTCCTGATGAAAATTGAGGTTCGCAGAGGTTAAACTCTCCCTCGGCCCTCAGTGATCCCACTTGCCCACACTTGCTCATTTCCAGTTCCATATGTTTCAAAGTCAGGACATGCTATTCCTTTGACTAAAATGCTTTGCCTTGCCATTCACTTGGTCATCTCCTCCTCATTTTTCAAGTTTTGACTTAAATGAACTTGTGCTGATGTTTACACCATACTTCACCTGCTGACCCCTAATGGTTTTGCTCTGGACTTCCGTCATAGCAGTACCCACCTGTATTTTCTCTCTGTGGTGATAACTGTGAAGACTTATGTGGTTAAAAGCTGATATCTCCGATGCAGTGTTATTCCAGTGAGGTCATAGCTGTCCTGTACACTTACGCACAGTCCCTGACACATAGATAACATCATTAAGGGTGTGAGCTAGACAGAAGGGCAGTCTCAGACCTGGAGCAGGGCTCAGAGCCAGCCTAGCAGCCAGAGGATGGGGCAGGTGCCAGAAGCTGGGCTGGCAGAACTGGCTAGGAGGTGCCGGTTGGAAAGCTTCCTGCCTGAAAAATACAAACTCTCTCACTACAGAACTCTGCCTTTTATAGACCTTGGCAAGTTTCAAGGGGTTTTGAGACCCTCAAATGTATAAATACTAGCAACTCCAGGAAACCATTCCTCTGAGTAAACTCCCCCAGGATGAGCTGAGAAAGTTGCTGTGCCAGGGAAGGACACCATGGCCCGTGTCCTTGAAGCACATTTTTCTCCACTGAACAGCAATGGAATTGAATGTCATAGCTATGACCTTTAAAAGTTGATCTGACTTGAGCATGTGTCCCCCCTCCCCCCATCCTTTTAGTAGCAAAACTAGTAAAAGCCTCAGGTACTGGTCCTCTCCGTCCACCTTGTTTGAGACAGTCTCTTGTCACTGTCCCACTGCACAGGCCAGGCTGGCTATCCTGAGAGCTTCCAGAGTTTCTCCTCTCCCTGTGGAAATACTGACATTGCCGTGGGATTACAGACGTCAGTGGTGTTGTATGCAGCTTTCACAGGGCCCCAGGGATTCAAACTCGGGTCTCCATGCTTGTGCAGCAAGTGCTTTTACCCACACAGCGTCTCCTTTGCCCCCCTTTTTGTTTTTTAATAGCACTGAAAAAGAACCAAACAGATAAAGCCAGGGCGAGAATGCTCAAGTGGTTAGATAGCTTGGTTCATCCCCAGAAACTCTGAAGCCTATGGACACTTGTAGTTTTGACCAGAGTCCTTGTAAGCCTCGAATGACTGACGGGAGCTGCTCTTGCAGGTAAGAAGCAGCTCGCCATCTTGGGGAGCACGGAAGCAGAGTCCTCTGATGACAGCCTCGTCGATCTGGTAAGTGCAGAAGGATGGTCAATTGCAGAATTGCCAAAACACCGCTTTTATGATGAATTGGTATTTCAGAGAAATGCAGTCTTTGGTGGAAGAAAGTCGAGTAACCTTTTATGAAATAGGCTTGCTTCCTCCCAGACAGCTCCCTTTTGCAAAGCGCTAATCTTTGAACTTTTTAAAAGAGGCAAAATTGAAGTCCAGGGAAAATGACGGGCACAGTATAAAATGACTGGGGTGTACACTTGCAATCTTCCCTCCACGACGGGTGCGAAAGGCCAGGCCGTGCTCCCATGAAATCGGTGCACTCTCAGGACTAGTAAAGTGCCCGATGGCCTGTCAGGCACACCATCTGTTTGCCCTTCAGTGCTCAGCTTGCCAGCAGGCCACTTTACCTCCATAAAGACGAAGAGAACACCCCCCCCCCCCAATCCTGCAGCAGTTCCCTTTCTCGTCAGAGGACTGCTTAAAACCCAAACTCTCCTGTTTAAAATAAGTTGTTTTCCCCCCACTTCAGGCTGTTGGACTCGGTGCCCGGTTTATCAAGTTGGGGGGTCTTTCTCGGGGTGAACGGGTGACCAAATACAACCGCCTTCTGGCTATAGAGGAAGAACTCATCCAGAGTGGAACATGGGGTATGTGCTGCTTTCCTGCTTTGTTTTCCCTTGGCCGTGAATAAGGGAACAAAGATTGGAAGGGAGGGAATAGAAGTCCCTCAGCAGGAGGGCGGGACAATCCAAAGACTGTAAATCAGAGCTGACAAGAGCAGGATGGCACTCGCCACAATGTCCATTGTTGGCTTAATGGATTATCTATTTACCTGAATGCTTAAGACTCTCACCACCCTTCTCCTTGCTGAATAGGCTGCTTGGTGCTTTTCAATAGAATTAATTGATTGGAATCTCCAAGCCTGCCTTTTGTTATGGCCCAAGTTATACTTAAGGTTTCTCTGCACAGCCCCTGAAGTTAAAGGCAGCCGCGTTCCTTCTGGAAACAACTTGTTTCACTTCCCACACGTAGGCAGCATGTTGACTCGGACGTGGTACCACAGCGAGGAGAAGGTCCCCCAAGAAAGGAACCGATTGCTTTGAAACCCAAACTTCAGAAATCTGCATGGGGAGCTTCTTGTGTCCCCGTTGGAGAGAAGTTTGCTGTATATTCACTTTTAAAGGCAGTCCCAAGTTAGTCTGTGTGGTTTACTGAGTGATACAATGGCTTGCCCACCACCCCAGAGGCCAAATTATATTGTTTTTTAACATCTCCTTGTCTTTTGTCATTCTGACTTGTGGGGCCTTCAGAGACCTCTCCTGTTACCAGTTCTCCGGCTGCTTCAGAACATCAAAAAGAACCCTGGGAGACTGGAGGCCCAGCCCCTTCTTAGGTGCTAGGCCAGTGCTTCTGGCATTCTGGAATGGATTAGGCCGATTAGTGAGAATTTCTCTAAAGCTGTTAGACAAACACCAAGAACACCCCAAATTAGCAAAATAAATAGCTTCACTCCCACTTTTGAGGAGGCAATCTTGGCAAAATGTCAGCCACTAAAGTATGGTTGTTATTATGTATGGTTCTGCCTGGGATGGTCATGTCTGCGCGGTTTCCTTTGGGGTAGCTGGTCCTCCTTTGTATTCATGTGCAGGGCTGGCCTTTACTGGTGAAAATCAGTGCCCTGAATGTCACAGTAGGTGTAACACAAACAGAACAGAGCAAGGGGCGGGCTGTTCTGAGAGTCTGGATCTGTTCTGGATGGGTCTGGTGAAGGAAGAGCTTTAATCCTGGGAGACATAACATAGGAATCAACACTACTTACTGGTCAGGACTGTAAACTTTATTTATTTATTTTTTAAATAGGTTCCAGTGAAGAACACAATTTTGCGTCCTTTCAAGAGGATGCTGAAAAGACACCAGAGGCGATTGCTGAGGAAACTCTTGGGCCCCTGGACTCCATCTTCCCCACGGAAGTTGTGGAGGAATCAGCTAAACTGTGAGCCTCATGGGGCTGGACTCCCAGGGGATACCAATACTGCAAGTGTCGTCTGTGTCTGTGGTGTGGAGTGTGTCTCCACACTGGCTCGACTCTTCACCAGCTCGTGCATTCTTTTATTCTTTCGGTCTCACCGTTGGATAAAATCTCCCTCTGATGGTTTTGTCTGAAGTTCCGCGAGCTTTATTTTACAGCCATCACATTGCATGGTGACACAGGCGCTGCTGTCCTTCTGAAGGTCACGACCTAACTTCATTAGAGGCTAATCCATTCTGATGCCAGGCCCATCCTCAGTCATCGCCTTGCCCCGCACAAATCAGAACACCTCTAGACCCGAAAGACTATTTCCCTGAATAGCGCCCAGGGCCCCACAGGCATCCATTGATTCTGTTAGGATCTCTGCTACCTTCAGATGGTTTTCATGGCCAGGCACAAACACCAAGCACCACAGGGCTGCACCACAGGGCTGCACCACAGGGCAGTACCACAGGGCTGCACCACAGGGCAGTACCACAGGGCAGCACCACAGGGCTGCACCACAGGGCAGTACCACAGGGCAGCACCACAGGGCAGCACCACAGGGCTGCACCACAGGGCAGCACCACAGGGCAGCACCACAGGGCTGCACCACAGGGCTGCACCACGGGGCTGCACCACAGGGCTGCACCACAGGGCTGCACCACAGGGCTGCACCACAGGGCTGCACCACAGGGCAGCACCACAGGGCAGCACCACAGGGCTGCACCACAGGGCTGCACCAGAGGCAGCGCCTGCAGCAACACTGAATCAGCTTCCTGCACTGGTTGCCTTTCGCCCATCCCTCCTGTCTGTTGTTGTCGTCACTGCCATTCTTGTATTATTTTCTCCCCAGATCCCTCTGGCACAAAGGTGGGCATAACTTAATCAGCACACTTGTAAATGAATGTTCTGATCCTCTTGTTGATACCGCAGCATGGGGAAGCGAGCAGCGAGTGGTTAAAAACGATGACAATTCCGTGTTGACAGATGCGCCTCTTGTGACTCAGTGCTGGGCTTTCAGCAGAGAGCACCAAAGTAAATATTCAAATACGGAAAGAATAGCGGTCAACCCCTTTACGTTATCGTGTTCTTTGTTAGGTGGGTTATTACAAGGGCTGTCTGTAACTAAAGACTGCATCAAATTGTAGTGTCCTGGCCTATAGTAGAATTATTTCAGTTAAATAGTCTGTTTTGAAAAGAATGGCCAAGGGAACATCATGTCCTCACAGGGGAACCAGCCTCCTCCCCTCAGCACCGTGATTTGAGATTGGCTCAGTGGCAGGCTCTTTGGAGCATGGCACGGGGAACTGGTTAGCATCACTCCAAGCTTGGGAAAATGTGTCACAGTTTGTGGTGGCCACCGTCTCTCCTGACGCTTAACAGCGAACAGTGGGGCAGAAGAGATTGAAGGGAAATCCGTTTTAAAGTCAGGACGGATAAGACAAGATGTTCGCGTGGTCTTAGCGGTTGTCCTCACACACACGTGATATGAGTATACCATGCAATGGAGATAATTCTAATCAATGAAACCAGAGCAAAATAAATGACCAGGTCAGTACCTTAATGTCAGCCCAGAATGCACTCTGCTCACATTAGCCTTGCTCGAGGACTGTGCACCAATGCCTAGGGACTTTCCTTAGAGGGCTAAGCACTGCCTCTGTTTATTATTTATTAATTTTCTTATTCACATGCTCCCTCCCTCCCTCCTTCCCTTGCTTACAAGGAGATCTATAAGGAGATGAAAGGAGCTAGTCTTACTGAATAATTGAGTTTGTTATTTGCCTTAAAAAAAAAAAAAAAAAGAAAGGAATTGGTCAAAGCCTAGATTAAAAATGACCGTGAGCTGGGAAATGAAGCCATTCCAGGGCTTGTGTAACAATGACAAATGGGTTACCCATCCTCCACAACTGTTCAAGTTGCTCTCTGTTGGAAGTGACTGAACATAGTGGCCTTCGCAGAAGCACCAGGATGGGTTTAAGACTGTAATACAGCTATCCCTTGCCCAACATGCAACCCAAAGTGGTCTGAAAAGATGACCCACAGCCAACAACTTCCCTGTGCAACAACCCTCTTACTGTTCATGAAAGTAAGGAAGGAGTTACTTGGCAAAGCCATAACACCCCCCCCACCACCACCACTACTCAGAACAACCCAGTCTGGGTGCTGGAAGCCCTGGTGAATCCCGTCAAGCAGATGCCACAGGCTGGAAAACTAATGTCTACGATGGGAGTTTGTGTGGGACTTGCTCAGATACAAAGGCTTCAGGCATTTTAATAAAGTTCTTACTCTCCCAGCAGAGGAGAGAGACATCTTCCTTTACTAAATAGCACAAGGGGCCTGCATGCCTTTCTGCCCACTGTGGCTATACGAGTGTTGGAAATAGTCAAGAGAGCTACAGCAGAGACCTAATCCATATCTTCAAAACAGAATAAATGTCCTGCTAGAGAAAAGAGAGATGTGTGGTCCCTCCCAGCTCGAAGACTGTATGAGTTGAATGCGTCAAAGAAGCCTTTCTGTGCACACCCAAGAGCTTACCTTGAAGATACAACACACCACCTGCATTGCCAACGGCCACCCTGGCAAAGGGCAGAACCTTAAAGCTGAGGTGAAAATAGAAAAACTGTAGGGAAAGAGTGAGCAAAAGTCTACGTCAAATACCTGTGTATCACAGTCATTTGCAAGGCTTTGTGGTCACAGGGAAGGAAAGCATATTTTCAAAAGTATGAAAGGCAAAGATGCTTTCAAAACACCAGGTACAGATAAACCTGGCCCAGCCATCACGCCTCACCTAATGGTTAACTTCTGCTGGAAATGAGGCTGCTTTTCAACCATGTTATTCTGTTGATATGTGATGGAATAGTATAGAAAGGTAGCATGCCCGTTTTTATATTCCTAGATGTGCGAAAGACCCACAGCAGCAACCTGGTGGCAGATTCAAGAAGCATGGAAGAGAGCTGCTCAAAGCCAGCCAATCTCATGAAGATTCCTGGTGCTGCCTGCTCACGCCACTCTTCTACTGGAGACTGCCAAGATTGGCTTAGTCTACGGCTGGGAGGTAGGGGGGTAGCAGAAAGTTTGCCTGCCATGGAAGAAGCAGAATTCTATTAAAGTGTCCCTCTAGACACTTTAGAGTGTCTGGAGAACTTCAACTTGTCAATAACCACAACTGACCCTTAATGAGAAGCTGTTGTGTGTCTCCTTTAATGTGTTGTGTTTGAGAAGAGTTCACATCACAGCATAACAGAACCCATCTCAACAAATTAACCACTTGCAGGTAGCATATCATTCAGTTATGGGAACACACAGTCAGAAAAGAAAAATCACGTTTAATTCCCCATGAGTAAACTGACAGGGAGCGGTAAAATCAGCACTGAAGGAACACGGGAACAGTCAGGCCTAATGAACCTACGTAAAGAGAATTGTCTCCAAATCAGGAGTGTTCTCACCTGCCTCCCCACTGCCTCAGCCTACGCTAGCAGCACACGTGCAGAAATACAATTGGACACAACCACCGCAATTGTTACTATCGTTTTCTTTTGCCCTCAGGTGCGAACCACCTGACAGCTACATGCTGAGTCATGCTAACAAAACTAAGCCTTTCACTTTCTTTAATAGTAAAATTAACCATTACTGAATCATTATCATAAAAAGTGCATTCAAGTACATTACCACTTATTTTAAATAAACACCAATTTGAAACAATCAACTTTGAAAACCTGCATAAGTTTTTTTTTTCTTTTAAATCCCTGATTACATTTCTATTTATTCACTGTGGTAGTCTGAAACATTGTATTTTTAGAAACTACCACTTAATTTCCTCTAAAAACAAAACAAAACAAAAGGCCCATGTAATATAGAACGGCAGTGAAGAAAAAAAATATGTGCTTGTCACTTATCTTCATTGTGCATAAAAACTGGAGTGACACATGGTATTTGTGCTATGAGAGTGTATGGGAAAACACAGATAACTTGGGGAACGGAAAGTATGGTTTACCTAGGTATTCCTTTTAAATTCAAGGTTTGGACTTCCCTTTGAGCTCTCTGTCCTGCAACTGGAACATTAACCCCTGACGTCCTTGGCAAGCCTTGGACATGGGGTCATGTTTTTCAGCAAAGCAGTTAACTGTAATCAACTCAGACCTAAGAGACCTTGGAGCTTCATGCCACCTCTAGAGCTCTACTACGGATGGTGTCAGCGCCCCCTACAAAATGGAGGTGCTGCTGGAGCCACTGACTTCCAGGCTGCTTCAGTTTCCCCATCCAAAGACCAGACCCAAACAGAGGCTCCTTTGGCGCCTTCATTTCTTTAGATGGAGTCTTACAATGTGACCCAAACTGAAGTCCAGGCTCAAGCGATCCTCCTGCCTCAGTCTCCCTGGTGCTAGGGCTGCACATAGAAGGCTTGGATAAAAGGGTGCATTTTTAAGATCATTTTTAAGTTCAGCGGTCTCTGTTTATCCAATTATTGGCAACCACCTTGAATTTCAACATGCCTAAATTTGAAGAGTAGTATGCACATTCCCTACAAAGACATGAACATATGAGTTTCCTGCCATATGAAGTCGTACGTCATATAGAAAGGACCCTTACCCTATAAAGAACAAAAACTACCCAGAAGATGCAGTTTGCTAAACAGCTTACTTATGTTTATAATTGCTACTTACAAAGTGACACCAGCAAAGCAGTGTGTGGCCAGAGCGAAGGAATGTCCAGTAGCCCTTGCCAGCACACCGGGATGAGCCGTGTGCTCACTGACCCCCCAGGACTCGGAAACACACCGCCCCTGGTTTTGGGTCAGCAGTGAGAACTGTCCATCTCGGCCGTTTTCCCACCGCCATCTTCTTTGTGTTCCGGCTGCATTTCACCTCCTTCCTCCTGGCACTGAGTTGGGTCTTTTTCAGCAGCCTGGTCTTTGGTTTGGGGTCCATGTGTGGAAACAGGATCTAAAACTACAACTGGCTCAGCTTGCTTTTCACTGCCCACACATTTTCTCCTGTATCCACCTTTACTGGGAGGCCTATAAGAAGAGAGTTAAACAGAAAAATAACTAAACAGAGAAAACATTTGACTTTCAGATTCCTGGGTTCAGGAAAATAACAACAAAAAAAAGTTCAAAGTCTAACCAACATGCATAGCATGGTAGTCTTTGAGAT